TTGCCGTATATTCTTTTTAAGTGGCTCGGTAGTGTCCGTCATTATCTTATATTCTGGAAGTCTCTTTGGGGTAACCATAAATAGCTGTATGGACCATCTGCTCACATTCTCAGTATGTGACCTAACGCATGAAACTCCTCAAAATTTGACGGATTTACCATGTACATAGTTCTGTGGCCAGTGCAGTGCCATTAAGATCCAGGGCACTTTTCCCCTTCCCCACAACCGGGGAGGTCTCTGTGATATCCACCCGGATATGATTTTATGCATGAGATGATAAGATACGCTTGGCAAGTCGGGACTCATACAAAAGGATTCAAAACTCACAACGTTCCTCTTTCCCAGTTCAATCTCTGTTAGCCGAAATTCTGAAATGCGTTTCCGATTAGGAAGGATTAGTCGGGTGGAGGTCTAATACATGTCATCCTGCGGCATAATTCTATAATTTTTGTGACTCGGCAGGATGTCGATGTTCGAATGCACTTCTTTTCAAGCTCCTGTAGAAACATTACTCGGTAAATAGTGGCCACTTAAGTAGCATGCACCTTTCCCATTGATTTTCGATGGTTTTATAAATTCAAATGTATTTCGCAAAAAAACATGGACAAAAGTTCTTTCTTTTATTCATTTGATAGAAAATCACGCCATCTTTTTATTGTATAATAAAATTTCAGACAAAGTTTCTAATTATGAGATTCTTTAAGACTGTCCAGTGTCTATTCACACAGCATCGTACCTGTCCGTTTACCACTTCTCCTCATGAAATATACAACATAGCCTGCATTCATTGCAAAATTTTATGGACTCTATATGGTATCTTTTTAAAGGCATAGAAGAATGTATGATTTTCCATATATGGAACGCACGCACCTTGTAAACTGAAATTACTCAGAGCTAGTGCAACGGCTCATCAGGCCCCAAATTATTCGGGTATTAGAAAACTTTTTTAAAATCTGATAATACTCCTTCTTCAAGTACACAATATGAAGATGAAGTGATTTACTATCAACCGAGTAAAAGAAAGCACTTTTTGTCCAGGTTTTTTTGCAAAATATTTTTGAATTTATAAGACCATGGAAAATCAATGGGAAAAGTGCATACTACTTAAGTAGCCATTACTTACCGAGTAGTGTTTCTACAGGAGCTCGAAAAGATGTGCATTCAAACGTCGACATCCTGCCAAGCGTGAAATGTTATAGGATTTTGCCGCAAGATAATCAGCATTACAAAATCAAACTAAGTAATCCTTCCTATTCGAAAAGGCGTTTCAGAATTTTGGTCAACATTTCATGAGATCGGTCACGCACTTTATTTTCGTTTTTCCAGTCAAGAGTACCGAGAATTGATCTTATCTTTTAGGCGCAAGAGATTAAACCTGATGCGCCTGGATGAACTCGAAGCCATGGTTTGGAAGGTTGCCAACCGACTGAATAACTCCGCTTTACTCAAGCTGACGGTTCAGTTGCAATCCCTCCTTCGTTATACGGTCTTCATGACAGTTTGGGGTCCCAAAGCCCAGTCCTCATTTGAAGTCCGCTTCAAGTGAGTCTAGATGACAGGGCGTGTGTGACAAACGTAGAATGACCACTTAGATTTTCGGCCACCGCGTCCTGGTCACCTTCAGTATTCTTAACTGTTTTGTCCCTAGAACACGGTAGATGCGGAAGAATAGGTGAATCTCATTGCTTGCGATGGTCAAACCAGGTATGTCAAGGGTGCAACTTAGTAGTGAGAGAGCTCATAACGAGGGTGATGCCTGACGAGGCGTCGGGCATATTCTCACCGGTGGGGGGAGTGAGAGAGTTGGTAGTCTTCACTGTCGCGGCTGTAATTGAGTGACAGTATACATCCATGTTGGCAGTAAGTGTGAATAGCCCGCTGGTTAGATCCAATAGCGCGTTAATATTTCGTCGGGTGCAACCCGCCATTGCGACGTTGGGCTGACGTAAAATTACATTATTGCCCACGCTATTTTGGGCGGAAAGAGAAGTGACCATTCGGGTTTGCGAGCATGCATACCTGATCCAGCTTACAGTTGTTGCGAGTGTTGGCGCAAAGCATTGGTCCGTGTAATGTGCTCGGCTGGGAAAACTCCAGCTAAACAATACAAAGGAGGCGGATTGTGGACGTCGTCGCCTTTGGACGTCCACATCGTGGGGAAGAACGAGGAGCGCCTGCGCAGGTGACTATTATACGGCGAGGCCGCGACCGGTGGTCGCAGGCAGGGCAGACAAGAGCGTCGCTACGAGGACACCTTGAAGACTTATTTCAAGCCCCTGCAAAAAAAACTCGAAGGCTTGAGAGGACCCATTGAATGACTGACAGACATGACATTGGAGTGGTCATCTTCGAACTCAACAGAATAATCATTTTCGGGATGAAGAGGGAGACCCGCAAGGCCCGAAAGCTACGGACCAATGCGCAAATACCTAAGCGCTTAAATCGTGTCCACACTGTCAACGAACATTTTGGGCATGGGTCGGTCTAGTTGGATGCCTCCGGACCCAGTGCAATGTCAACACAACCAAATCGCCTCCAATCTCGTAACACACTACCACTACTGGCAACCCCGGTGTTAACACTCCTTTCGGCCTACAAAACACTACCGTATGGGTCCTACAAACATTTTGGACTCAATGCCAACCGGTAGCCACTGTGGATGCACTTTCTTTTCATACCTGCTGATCCATTACAGCGTCGACGAACCAGCACCCGCAGCGCCAGCAGACAACCGCCACATCCGCTTAGGAGGCTCCAGAACACTCAAACGCCGCATTGGTCTAATTGGTCACGTGCGTAGCCGTGACAGCGAGGCTCATTGCTGTGCTCATGGCAAACCCACCTCCCACATCAGAGTCCCCCCACCACTAGCACTACTAACCTTACCACCAGCAGCGTCGCCACTACTAGTGGCATGGCCACACCGCCAGCCTACTATACACAATCCCACCTTATCGCTGCTGCCGTCGCGCAATTGCATTAGACAGCGGGCTTGCAAATCTATCGCACTGAGAATGGCGTACAAGCATCAGGAGCTTCAATGTACACCCGTCTCACTCGCCGAAGGACATTCGGTCATCACATGGTCCTATCCAGCCATATGCGTCTCCATGCAAATCCGAGATAGCACAGCACTCTAAACCCCGCCATCACACATTGCCCCACATGCCCAGGCCACATATGAACACCTCCACACCTCGCGTCACACCCACGAACCATACCTCGTTGCGAAATCAAGCACGTGGTTCGTCTCGACGTCGCCGACACGACCAGTGAAACGCCAAATATCAGAACACGCACATCTTACGTAAGTCGGAGGAATTTCATTTGATGTTCCAGCAGATTGTATGTGACACAGGTAGACGGGCCGCCTATCATCTTCGTAACGTCTCTCGAACTGGACTAGGCAGTTTGAGTGAAGTGGATACTTCTGGCCTAGACCCCGCATGGAGATGGTGTAGCCACATGCCTGCGAAAATGGCCGATGTCCCTTCTCTTATGAAACCACCGGCTCCCTCCCCGCCCACTATCTTTAACCGCGTTTTCCACGGTCCTCCCCCGCATTCCCCACCGGTTGTTTAGCAGGTATGTCGTCGTCGTCGTCACCTACCAATCCAGATGGTTTACCTCCCTGGGGTAACTCATCTTCTCTGGTATCATTTATCGTTTTCCGATATACTAAACTCCTTGTTCCTAGTGCATATTTTGCACTTTTAACTCTTTCCTCTTCCTGCTTGTACGAGATTGATGACGAACCCAGCAAATATTTTTTTCCCGTTCTAACCCTGTTATTCTTAGTCTTTCACGTTACCCCGTGTGTGTGCTGCCCTCAACACCTCCGGCTATTACTGTCAGCCACTACGCCCAATTTCGTCACCAGCTGGTTGATAGACTCAGATTTTCGACTGATGTACGGGCAAGGTAAAGTTAAAGTCAGAGGAATCCAGCCCACGACACAGCAGCGCATCCCTCGCTGGCAAATTTGGTGCGCTAAATGTCGCGCCGTGGACGGCTGCCAACTGGTGGAACAACTTGGCCCCCGTGGTCAGTACTGTGTACATGGAGTGACTGGTTTGAGGTTTGGGAGTCAGGCTGAATGCCTCCTTATCATTGCCTCTAATGGCACTCTAAAAGCACGTGAGATGTGAGCAACACCCTACCTCCTGAAAACTCGGCACAGTGTCCGTTTTTAGAATTTCTTTCTGCGAAATCTTCCCGATAGTTCCCTCCTTAACATTAGCATCCCAGGCGTGTATATACACATCCACTGGTTTCTAAATCTTGCATAGGAAATGTTAGCCGTTCCAGAGACACCGTGAATTCGGATTTCAAGGCTAATGCGGCTTACGGCGTCCCGTGTAATACATTATTTCTCAGACTATTACATACCAAGACCACTCGTCAAAAGAACATACTAGATCTGACGCTCAGGTAAGGGCCGCGACGTAACAGTAAGCCCGCAGGTGGCCATATAGCGTCAAAAATGCTACACATATACGCATAATAATCGGATGCAGTTAGTTAACTAGAAAAGGGATGAGACTGTACAAGATGAAACCGATTGGTTGGGTCGAGTAGGGGCTAAAAAACATAGCCAACTCTGGGAAAGGTCAGGATATGCAATGTACAAGCAAAGCAAGGCATTGGCAAGCGTAGGTAGGAGCCAAAAGGGACTCCGACCTACTGAGTACCGCATATACACAACAAGCAAACAATTTGCACGTCACCACAATCGGATGTTGGAAAGTACAGATGTAAAGATATGTATGTATATATGTACAAAAACGTGTGCGCGCACGTGTGGAGGGAAGGGGAATAACAGGTTGTGGATTGTGGCCGTGGAATGGGTTGTCAGTTTTAGGTCATATGAGGGGATAAAGAAAACGGCGAGTGCAATAGGGATCGCCTTCAGAGTGCTGCACCAGTGAGGATACAACTAACTCACCCCTCCTTCCCTTAGGCCAGGATACAAAGCAAGGAATGAAAGACATGCAAGTGGTTTAACGGTAGCCCTCGTAATGTAGATATTGGACAGTGTGGCAGGCAGAGGGGGGGATCTGGTCTTGTGCGTGTTGGGAAGCGAGGCTGCTGGGGGGCGGTTGTTGGGGCGAAACGGTCCGTGACTGTTGCGTCTGATGCTGCTTCGGAAAGGCGACATTGGGCATACTTTGACGCTGCGGTTGGAAAACATAACCAGAATTCCAGGACACACCGCTGTTCGGTGGATGCATGAGATGGGGCGGTTGTTGTTGCATGCCAGTTGGAGGTAACCCATCGGGCGTCTGAAGAGGGACGTTCTGGCTCATGCAGATCTTGACTTGCCGTTGTTCCTGCAAACGACCGCCGGCGGGATACGGAGGGGGGTCAGGCACCTGCTGTTGCAACTGTTGTGAATTTAGGCCGTAGAGGACCTGATCGGACTGTTGTTGTTGGTAACGGACGGAATGTTGAGAGTTCTGCCCCATAGTCATGAGGGCGCAGTTTGGAGGCTGTTGTTGAAGAGGACCGCGCCGTATCGGTTGCTGCTGCTGTGACATACTGTCCAGTAAGCCACCACCGACTCCAGAAGGGTCTTCGCCAGTCGACGAGGCGGTCACATTGATGTAGCCGCTCATCTGATCCTGGCTGGCAGAGGCGGTGTCAACGCCCTGAAAGGAGTTGTAGTCGGCTGGAATGGCCTGTGAATTAGAGACAAATCCCGCTGAATCTTGTGACATCATTTGTTGCTGTTGGAAGTTTGGACTTTCGTCCTCAACTAGAACGGGGTAGTAATGTAGGGACCGCTGTTGTTGATTCATGAGCTTCTGTGGAGTCACAACGATACCACTAGTGTCAACTGGCTTTTGCTGCTGTTTTCCACCATACATTCCAACTACCTGGGGTGGCGGACGCTGGTTGGGTGGACATCGACTGACCGCAGCAACGGAAGAGAGGGTGGAAGCAACAGATGCCGGCGTACCTCTTTGACCCATCATTGAGGAAGGCTGTTGGGAGTGTTGCCAGACACCCGGGCGTGGTGTGTTTACCACTGGGCCACCGCCAGCATCGAAGGCATACAAGTCTGCAGTCGCGGTCATGGAGGGTTTAGAGGGATAGGCAGAGTTGCCGCCGAGGGATTGTTGCTGTTTTGACTTAGCGCCGGTTCGCATGTTCCCTGGTCCGTTGTCCGGCGTGGCGTAAGGACCGCCAACTGGCGGAGTTGAACTTTTCTGCTGCTGCGGGTTCGAGGAGCGTCTTACAGAGGGCCGCTTCCGCTTCACACCAGAGCTAGACTGTTGGGATGCCATGGCGGCAGCGGCAGTAGCAGGAGCTGGCGAAGCGAAGTTATTCATCTGTTGATTGCCAACGCCGCCACATATACCCGCATAAGCGTCTGTCAGTTTCACATTACCACGGAAGTGATCCATCATCATCATCATGCTACTCGAATCAGTGCAGATGGGCGGGGGCATCGAGACAGCCGTATGTGGCGGTTGTAAAGAGCGGAATGCGGTCATCTGGGCAGAAGCTGCGGACATTGAAGAGGGGGGAAGGCGTGATTCCTCAAATACCATAGCGTCAGGTGGTGGCGATGGACGGCCGGTGAGCTTGGCGTTGAGCGGCTGCGCCATTGAAAGAGAGTAGTCACCGGAAGGAGGCCGCTGCTGTTGTGCCAACCCGCCAGCAACATTCGAACCAATCTCCTTGGCGCTGAGGGTTGTTGTGAAGTCGGGTGTCCCACCACGACTGACAAGGGCAACGTTTGGTTGACCGTTGGCAGCAGTTGCTGTTGTTGTGAGTTGCGTTCTACTGCGCTTACGGCGGGTCACTGAACAATTGGCAGGTGACTGCTGTTGTTGAGGGTGGCCCATGGGTACCTGGGTGTTTGGCGGACCTACTGCGTTCTGCGTGCCACGAATGCCCGGGACTTTTTCCCAACCATGCATTAGTCCACCATGAGATACGAAGGGTGTAGACATGAGCGTTGGGAGAGGCGCTGACGATTGTTGAGGCGGGGGTTGTTGTTGGTTCCCGCCGTTGTTGAAGACACGTCCCATGTCGGACCTGCTGTTCATAGTCTTAGAGGAAAGCCCCGATGAGGATGGAGGCTGACCTGGGGGTCGGTTTTGAGCAAGAACGGAGGGATTTACGTTGAACTGAACACCACTCTCTGGAGATGACCGTTGCTGCTGAGAAGCACGCTTAGAGGGAGAGCCATGAACCAAAAAATTTTTGTTCTCAGGGGAGGCTATGGTCGCGGTCGAAGTCGCAACGTCTTCGTTCTCAGGTTCCGGGAATATTGAGTGAAAATAAAATTCCGGGGAACGTCGCATGCGTATAGGATGCTCATGGCTGACCAAGAGGTTAGCTTGCTCTTCCACACGTGTGAGACTGGCTTCGGTTGGAACGGCGCCACACATCGACAACAGCTGGAGACGACGATTTGGATCGTATACATCCCAGGGTGCTAGGCGCTCACGGCCGCTAAAGACGTAGCCCCGCTTGCGAGAGAATGACTTCAGTCCTGAACCAGTGGTCAGGCCGTAGCTACCTAGACCTCGACTACCGCCGCAGCCGCTGGAAGAAAACGAAGATGAGGCAGCAGAGGAGGATGACTTGCTGCCCATTTTTAAATTGCTTGACTTTAGGCTGCCTCCAAGCTTCCCAGTCCCACTGCCACCTTCACCGCGGTTCCCAGCGCCAGGACCTCCGCCGCCGGGCCCCCCGCCGAGCGGATTGACTACCATGAAGGAGTAGCCAGAGCGACCGATGAAAAGGAGTGGTTTGATATACTCGATACCGGCGGTGAAGTGACGGTCAGCAAGCTCTTTACGGATCCGGCGGTTTAAGTTCACGCAGACTTTGCTCTCGGCACCGGTCATTGCAACCAGATTGTGCACCAGAGTGTGCAGCATGTCAAGACAGGTGAAAAAGAGGGTCTGATTGGAGTGAGGCTCCGTGACACCAAAACCGATAAGCTGAGCTAAGAGGACTGCCCAACGAGAAATGCGCTCGGTATCCATCTCGGTACACAGCCTTCTGCCCACCAGAGCCAAACGTAGACTGAGACACTCCTGCAAGACGTGGCGGGTGCGTAAGTTTTCCGGCATCCGGTCGCGTGTCTCCTTAGCGTTGGCGAGGAAAAAATCGACTTGCTCGTAGAGGTAGTCGATTGAGTCAGTTTCCTGCATGCAGACCTGCAGCAAGGCTGAGAATGCCGGATGAGCCAGTATGACTGAATGCCTGAGCACAACTCTTTCCTTGTCTTCGTCGTTTTTGTGTCGCAGGAATTGTTTAATGCTCCGGAGAATCTAAAAAGAAGGGCAATCCGGTTAGGATGTTTGAGTAAATGGTTATGCAGTTGCTGCCTGGCGTCGAAAAGCTCGATGTGACTGACGGTTGGGCATAAGAAAGCGCCTATTCTCTCAAGGATATGAATGGCTTCTCGGAAAATCAGGGCGTTTGTTCTTTTAAAAAAGTATGATTATGAAATTTTTGGAAATACACGCGAACTTTGGTATTAAGAATGTCCACGATCCGACGTCACCTGAAAAAATAGATCTTCAGTTTAAAAACAGACGGGGTTGATGAGTTTGTTTGGTATCGTCGATGGAAGGATACACCGAGGATGTGAAAAGTCATGCCAATGCACCTTATAAACGTGTTTAGCATGTTAATGTAGTTTGGGAAACTCAGTGATGACTCGCGTAGGAGTTGGACATGTGACAAGTTGTACCTGCGAAGCGTCTACCCGACGCTCTTTTTTGATACCCCCACTCTTCCGGTGACCGTGGGCGTCGTGACAATCGTCTGCCCAACGCCCCCGCATGTTCGCATCCCGAAATTAGTAGCTTGTGGTCCCAGGTACCATATCTAAAGCTACGTTCCCAACACAAACAGTAGGGGCAGGACACTTTACAACCACACCACTTCTGTAAGTACACTTCTAATTTATTAGTACATGTCTTGGAAAAAGGTGATGATGAAATCAAATGTGAAGTCGTTGGCAGGGAACGCTAGACGACCCTATATGAAGAAATCCGAAAAAAGCAATTTACAAGAACGCAGAATATTTAGCCGCTATAGAGGATTGAAGACGGTAAAGGGCGAAACTAAGCAACCACTGTCGTCACTATACAGTAGGTCCAAAATGCTTACATGCACTTTCAAAAAGAATATATCACTCAACCGAGATAGCCATGATGAATAAGTTAAAAATAAATCCCAGATTAATAAATAGGCGGCATCCTACCTGTCTTTAAGTGCCAATCTTAAAGGCTAGGGGAAAAGTCTACATATAGCATGCACAAAAAACTGAAAGCTCACAAGTTCGGAAAAACAGAGTTGGGTGGATAACATGTAACGCAATCAAAGGATAATGAATGTACGTCTGGATGCCAGCTCTCAAACAAGAAACATCACAACTACCCGCACTAATAGACTTCGCAAAAATAAATACTTAAAAGAAGGGCGTATTCTTTTTAATTCATTTTGATGCCTTTTAAATTCTCTCAAGACCGTTGAGAAGGATGCACTAAGATTTCAAGTTTCATACTCGTTTTTTGGAAAAGTATGATTTCTTCAATATTTTTTAAATCAAAGGTGCGTCTGTTTTCAAAGTCCCTGTAATTAAGGATTTTTTCAGACATACATTCTAATATGAGCATTAATATGCAACCGGGTCCACGTGTATTGCAGCGTTTAACGAGCACCAGACGCCTCATTGCAGACATGTAGGGCTGTGTCAATCTTCCTCTAAGAAAATGTAGTTAGTGCAGCTTGAACGTCCGCGGAACTCGCAAAAACGCAAGTTGTTTGAAAATATGCAGGAATTAGCCAATTTGAGGAACATACAAAACCCGAAGATGATTTAATGTCCATAAAGTGATTGATTAAAAGGACTTTTTGTTTATCCCCTTACAAACACGATAGAATCCACACAGGCTTCGAGATCCAGGGAGAAAGCACACAATCTTCATGCAGTGGCTTTGCGTGTAGCAACTTGACTGGCATTCGGTTTCGCGGTCCCACCTAAATAATCATTTTCCATACGAAAGCACAAAAGGCGTCCTGGGCAATGTTTCAAAGGTTTTGGTGCACATATTTCATATTGGTTCTCGGTTCGTGAATTGGTTCAATTACAAATGGGTAGTAAAATTCTGTTGCTCATATATACAATGCAGGGACCGATTTCTTCACGTTTTGTCAAAAGGGAATGTTCCGGTTTTACAATTGACCTCCGATTAGTGTGCGCTTTGAGACGTCACTTATGTTTCACGTGCTATTAACGTTTACAAAACTAGAAGCAAATCACGAGATCACTTCAGTTTCATAAGACGGGATATCCTAATGTGGATGGAACAGTATAACAAGCATGGGTTGCGTCTGATGCTTTTTGAGCAGGATGCGGACCTTTAACAACAGCAAACAAGAAACGTCTCGTAAATTTGCATAATTAAAATCGAAATAATCCCTTCCCTCAAGCGCAAATTTCGAGAGAGACAATCGGTTGGGCATGGGAATATGGGCCCCAACGTATGAGAGGTGACCTTTTCCTAAATTTCAGGGTGTTAGAGTTCGGATCAGTAAAAGGGTTAGAGTTAGGGTTAGGTTTATGAGGGTTATTGTTAGTGGGGGGGGGTTCGGGTTGGAGTAAAGACACAGAAACAATAACCCCCTCTGAGGTTTAGCGCGAGAAAACCTGTAGTACTGGTGGAGGGTCCCATGCCCAACTGGGCAATCTCACACAAAACAAATGCGAGATGTGAAGATTATGTGCATACTTTCTGAAGTGAATTTGTGCCAGCAGCAAAAATCAATGGAAAAGCCCTGGTCTTTCCCGACTGTGGCTAGAACAAGATGCTGGACTCTCGACCTATAATACCCTGCATGAATCAATCTTGGATCATGCGTCATCTATTCTACGTTGAAATCGTAATCAAATGGCCGGTGGAGCCGACGACTTCAGTCAGTCTTTCCCGAGTTTCGATACATACTACATGCACAGTCTGCTCAAGTGAGCTGTGTCATAGAAGTGGCGAGTAAGCAAGTACGCGGTCGGTGCGCTGGAAGTAGGAATGGTAGGGGATAATCAGATTAAACACTGACAATCCACTCCGGAATCTTATTTCCAAAGAGTTTCTTCGCTCTCCTATTACTAGTCACTGGCAAGTTGACGAAAATAACCTAGCGAAGATGCTTCATTGAGAAGAAAGCGATGACCAGCCACCTAGGGACGAATAACTGGGAAATAATTACAAATTTGTTAAATCCGATCTCGTAAATTTCGATCGGCGCATGAGACCCACTTTCGTGTCCACAACTCCCTCTGAACAAAATTCTACAACTTGCCTACAAACAAATGAATCATGGTTCGTCCGAAAAAACGGAAGCCGTGAGCAAAAGAAAGAGGTATTAGCGGTATTGAAACAAATCACCAGTAAAAATAAAACGCCATGTAGGGCTGTCTTAACCTCTAGGTTTGTATTTTAAAGGTAATAGCGCCCATGCGATGAACAGTTAAACTGGACATACAGTACAGCAGGACATCATACCCATGTAGTACGACGGTCCATGAGTACGTCACGGATGTGTTTGTATGAATGAGCAACTGGCAGTTTTCGCAGACCTAAAGTGTATATGGACCTTCACAATATCTCCGTTGCCACAAAGATGTGTCTGCACAGAACGTCCTCTCGTTTAGTGCTCCTATATGGTTGTGAGCGAGAAAAACTGGCACAAGCTGGAGGTTTCTGATTACAGTTGCCTGAAAGTCAAATGCACCGATTTCGTCTCGAATGAGACAATCGGCACGCCCTACAACGAAGCTCCAAGTTTCCTGGGTCATCTAAGAGGGACAGTTGAGACGGCTTAGAGACGACTTGCGTCGACCGCCTCGCGAGTTCAGCGTTGTTGTTCCTCACTTGACGCCGATGGCTGACTGTAAGTTGGTCCAAAAGATGGCTCGACAAAGCCCACTGCGACATGGAAGTGATTCTCAAATCTTCAATATTCGGTCTTTGTCGCGTACGAATTGGTGGGGCCCACCAAAATGACTGGCGCTAAAACTCGAAAATTCTGACAGGAGATCCCTCAGATTAATCGATTCTGTTTATCCGAGAATGGTGATTCTTGTGCTGATGACTGCATCAAAATAAAACGTTGGCCTATGTATCATGGTACTACTACTACTTTTCTTTTTCGTTTTAGTTCCAGTACGTAAATTGTAAGATGAATAAAGCCATATTATAGGGTGTTCGCGTTCTGATTCTTGCATCCTGATTTGTTCGTGATCTCCCTCTCGTGTGCTTGCTACGGTCCTAGCCACTATAATATTTTCATGAGGTCTCTCCGATTTCGATTACTAGAAAGTACCCTTCTTTAGCTGCATCCCCGTAGTTCAAGTTTCGTCCTTCGGCCTACAGCACCAGGTGACCTTCGCTTCCTGGAACAAAGCGCCTCGGCTACGCCGAGTGCGTCAGAATTTATGTCTTGAGTGAACGTGCATGGAGCGATGAGATTGCACCACATGATTACGGTGGGGTCGTGCTGGTGATGGACTTCAAGCGAAATGGGAAGAAAAACAGATATGAGAGCTACAGCAACAAGTGAAGACTGTTGGGTTGTGAGGATGCCTGCCATTATCATCATTGGGCTGCTCCTGTGCCCATGGTGCGCGGATGGAAGTCAGTCAAATGGGCGTCGGGGCTGCAAATGAGTGTGCAAATTGAACATCCACACTTTATTTTTTAAATTTTACCGTGACCGCCAACATTCGCTAGTCACTTGCTTTATAAAGTCTGTAGAGTGGCCCCAAACGCTGATGACAATACGAAACAACCAAATTATCTGCCAGGTTATTGGCAAGCCCTCTGCACGGAGTGACCCTGTCTACGACGGGGACGGCGACTTCAGTCCTAACTTTGTCAAGGTCGAGTGTCGGCGAGCACTCCGGGCGCGTTCTTAACTTCGATGACCAAACCATAACATCCGCGCTCTCGCTTGCAGTAGACTTTTATCCCTCTTCAGTCTATGTAGTATCATGTAATACCTCTTCAGCGTGAAATTACCGACGCAATACAGAGGCTTCACAATCAAAAGACACTCTGAGAGGACGGCATCTTTAAGTCCTGTGTTGATACTGGCACCCTGTCGCCACGAGATGATTGAGGAAGCCTGGGTAGATTAAGTTGACGCTGATGACTGGGGTCTAGGTATCCTTGTTCCTACCCTCAAGAACAGAGATAAGACAAAGTGCGATAACTGCCGTGACATAAGCCTGACGGACGTTGCTGACGTCATTTACCAGCGACTTCAGGATATGCGTGAATTAAGGATGAGACCCAACAAAGCTGGGGTGTGGAAGCGTACAGTGCGCCGTACTCTAGGGTTCCGCCATGGCTACCAGTAACCGACGCCGTCTGCTTTGCTGACTTCGCAGCAGCGTTTGATTCCGTCCATCGCGAGTCCCTGTGGCGGGTAATAGAGCTAGATAGTATGCCGGTAAAAAGCATCGCCATGATCAAGGCCTACTGGCACTCTACCACTGCGCCGGTTCTGGTCTATAAAAATCTGTCTAAACCGTTCACTATTCGATCTGGCGTTCGTTAAGGTTGAATCCTGTTGTCTATCCTATTCAACTACACCACTGACTGGATTCTCGGGAGGGCCCTTCAAGATTTTGACGGTATTGAGTTTGCGCCCGGATGCCAGCTGACTGATCTCCATTACACAGACGATATCGCCCTGTTAGCTTTAAACTTCGGCAATCTACAGTCAGTGGTTTAACGGATGAATTAGATCGATAAGCCCGCCGGTTTATCCATAAACGCTGGGAAGACCAAATTGTTTTCGAGCTGCATCCCTGCCCGAAATAAGGCACCCCTCGGGATAAATTAATGTCAACTTGAAGCAGACAGCTTAAAATTATGCCTATGACTTTCATGAGAGTGAAACTTGTCCCACGGAAATATCAGACCAGTCTCCTCCCATCGAGCCGTGGCAAGCAGAAGTTCTAAAAACCAGCATCAATGCCGTTTATAGAGCTACATGTGACAGAGTGTCCGTTTTACCTTCTGCCGCGCGCGATCAGTTTTACGAGGCAGTGCAACTCTATCTTGCCGCAAACGCCTTTTGGCCGTGATCACTACCGACCTGTGTCGCTGATCCTACAGTCCATCAAACCAGCATGTATGCTAGTATAGTGCCAACTTATTGCCCTGACGAATTCCATCTCACTAATTGTTGTTCTATTTCGTGTTTTAGCCCCGATACACCGATTAAGAAAGCCATATGCCAGGGTACTCTTTCTTTCAGATTCTTCTAATCAGTTTTGTTCGTACTTTCCCACTCGCGTGCTTGTAGCCGTTTTGATTACAACAATTTATCGTACAATTCAACAGTGGGTCGAGTTCCCAGGCCGGTACGATTCAATGTCAGTAAAATGCCCCAGACGCTTCCAAACAGTGGAGCCACCAGTTCCGCACGCTTCGAAAATTTTATACTCACAGTCAGAATTATGGAGCCAGACAAATAGGGCTATGTTTCTCCGACAGTAGCTTTCGGTTCCTCGCATAGCAAGTTTCTTTTGTGGATGCGACAAGTATTCTCGTTGGAAGTGTCCCGCATGCGACACGTTATGCAGGGGGTGCAGTAAAAGGATCAGTTCCAAAAAGTTTGCGCGGCATCACGAAACCGAAGGTCTTCTCTTCCTCTACACATCCGACCATTTGTGCTGTAGCATCGGCCGCTGCTCCTGACTGTCTTTCAGACGCAATGGTCAAACTACAGACCAACGGGAATAATTTCAAGGTCTCTATGGACACAGAAAATTCTGAGTTACAGTTCGTCTTTCATAGCAGTGTTCTGAAATAACTGGGAAGCCCGAAAATCCCACCGAAGACCTGGCTGCAGCCAATAAAAAGCACAAAACGGGTGGTTGTTGATCATAGCCAAACGATCAACAGGCACACACCCGGTGATGTTACTCCTATTTCAAGATAGAGGAAACGAGTAGACATACTGCGAACTACGGCAAGTACGACCAGAACCATCAGTCCCATGTGCCTAACCCCTTCTGGTAGAGTTCTGTTGAAGGAGAGCGTTCAACAGTCTACATATGATCTGCTCGTTGGCGTCTATTTGCTCTGCTGCAACCGCCAATATGCTCACATACGGTTCGCTAATGGCAGACGAAAAACCGTATTCGTTGACTGCTTGCTTGAAGAGTGAAAGACATCGGTGATTTCCATCAGGAGACGGCCACACCATTACTGCAAGAGCCCATTCTATTATCCCTGACCACCCAACCAACACTGAACGGGAAAGCAACAGCCGTTCCGCTGGAAAGCAGAATGCTGGGGCGCTTGTCGATAATCGTGCGATGCTAGTGGTCAAACAACGATCCTTCATCCACGCTGCCTTCGTAATAGAGACGTCTAAAATGCGCTATATGAAAACCTCAGTAACAAATCTGTCGACACCTTGGCCACTCTATTTTTCGACCGGGGAGGATGTCATCTTATCTTATTGTCCTGACCAAAGTCCATCTCACTAACTGTCCATAAGGGAAAGATAAACTGGGATCCAGTTTTCCTCTTGATCAGGTTTTAACGCCTGCGTGAGATAAATTTGTAATAGGAAGGATTGTCAAACGATCCGTTCTTACCGTATTTTAGCAGGAATTTACATCGTCCCAAACATGCTGTATTCTGGTTTTAGGAATAAGTCGCAGTTTTATCCGTTTAAAACCTGTGCATTCCAAGATGATTTGAACGAGTTCCATTGAAATGTCTTATTTAAGTGCCGATAGGCTGATATAATGGACGCCTTATAGATTATAACTTGCTACGGTAAGGCTGAAGTGATTAGTATACTAAACAGCCGTATTTCTAAAAATACTGGTAGGGGTTTACTCAGTCAGAGATTTCGAAAAAATTAAAGACTCCGAGGTGATTTTTAAGGCGATATATTGCACGGCTGAAAATGGTTATTTTTAAGACGAAATTTCCTAAAAGAAAGTGGAAGATCGTCTGTTCGTCATTTCTTCCTGCACATTTTGTTCGAAATTGCAGTCGCTGACCGATCTCATGAAATCTTAACTGAAATTTGGAAATACGTTCTCGATTAGAATGGATTGCATAAGTGAGGCTGTAACACTGATTATCTTGCGATATAATCTTGTGATATTTTAGACACACCAGGATGCTGGCCTTTGAATGTATTTCTTTTCGGCCGCCTGCAAAAACCGCGCTCGGTAAAAAAATGATTATTCAAGTAATGTGCATTTTCTCCACCGATTCTCGATGTCCCTTTAAGTTGAAATATATTTTATAGAAAACTCCAATATGAATATTATCTGTTGTACTCATTTGGTAACAAATCACGTCTTTTTAGAATTTTATACTTGAAGAGCGTCTTAGGGTCTTAGGAGGTTTTTTATACCTGAATAACTTTGTGTTTTATCAGCCGTAGGCTTTGCCTTTAGAGTCCTCAGTCTACAAGCAGTATACTTCCCGTGTAAGGTAAAACATACTTCTTTAGGCGACAAAGCAGATACCATAAACGGCTCATAAAATATTGCAACGGATATGGACTATCGTATACTTAAGGAGGAACCATGATAGACGGACCGATATGATGTTATATAAATGGAAATGGGACGCTCTTAAGAAATCTCCAAAAGAAACTTTAAAACTGAAAGATACCCTTTTTTCAAGTATGAAATGCGAAGATGTGATTTGCCAGCAGACGGGTACAGGAAAGAATATTTTGTGCATTTTTACCACAAAATATGTTGAAATTCACAAGGCCGTCGAAAAACGATGGGAAAAATGCGTGCTCATTTTTTACAGAGCGCGATTTTTGCAGACGGTCGAAAGAAATGCGTTCAAAAGCACGCACTCCGGCGTAACTGAAATATCCTAGGACTATGCTGCACGAGAATCAATAATGCAAACTCACTCAAAAAATCCTTCCTAAATGAAAACGCATCTGAGTTGCAGTCAACATTTCATGAGCTCGGTCATCGACTGCAGGTAAACTAATATAAAAACATACTGTTTGAATTGGTGTCCTTGAGTACAATTAGCTATGACAACAACGTCGTCAACCGAGGATGGATTGACGCGAGGCGGCGTTTTATACATGTCACTACTGCAAGCAGCGTTTGTATTCGAGTGCATGCTAAAATTTCTGCAATTTCTTGAACTAAAGTTGTTAATGCCGGTGATATCACGTTGTTAAGGCCAGACAAGGTTGACTGGATTGTGCTATTCGAGTGGTGCAGATTCATGGAATTAAGAGTTCGGACATATTTTCAAATCAAAATGCACGGATGCAAAAGGTGGTTCCGCAAAAGTTTAAAAAATTCTGGAACTCACATCCCAGGTTGTTTTCACAATTGAGACTTTCAGCTGTGTCGGCAGTTTAGAAACCAGCGACAAGAGGAGCCAAATACTGTCGCTTTTGGGGACCTCAATGTCTGGAAGGCCATCGGGCAACTCTCCAGCTGAGGCCGTATCAGACGATCCGCCTTTAAGATACTCCAGGGCCTGTTCGTTGAAATTTTCGACAACGGACTGAGCCACATAGGGTAGTGGGTCAGCCTCCTGTGTCGAGGACACCTGCTTGTACAACAGTTCAAACTCCATCCAAGTAGAGTGGAGGGTCCAGATGCTCAGATTAGTTAGGAGAGCCATCATTGCGTCAGCGATGCTATTGTTTTTTAAGGCAGTATCAACCCACTTAACATCATGTGGCCGATAGAGGATGTGAAGCAGGTGGCGCGCCTGACTACGGGAGAAGTCCTTGTCAATGAGTACCTTTTCTTGCAGGAGAAGGGAGGATATGCGATACCACGTTTCTCTTACCCATGGAGTCACACAGACTTCGCGCAGAACAAGATAGGCAAAATCCCGAAGACGCAGAGATTTTATCTCAGCATCGGTAGGTGGCGTACCGGTGGTCAAGTAGTTGCATGTGACGGGGTGTATGCGGTTTGGCAGAACCCGTCGATTAGCCGTGTGACAGGATGGTACATTCTTTCGAGCTCCTCGACCACGACGCTTCTTGCTTTTTGAGGCCAGATGCACGCGGCGCCGCTTACGACGGCTCTTTGTAGGGCCATCGACAGCATCCAAATCGTCTAGGGTGTCGACAGAACTGTTACCATAATCAGCATTGTCGTCGGATGCAGAATCACCTCTAGTGTCATTGTCTGAAGAGTTGTCCTCCTGATCAGAGACCCTAACACTGCCTGTTTTGCCGTCGCCCTCGTCGTCCAACCGCTTGTCCGTCTCCGATTCATCCGTATCCGGAACACCCTTGTCACTGTGGACCATTAGCATTTTCAGGGTGTCAACGAAAATCACATTTGTCACTTTCTGTAGGGCCCCTGCGAGTAGCAGCGGCTCTGAAACTCTGAAAGGCGGATAGGAAGGAGTTGAAGAATTCTGGTCAGCATCTGTATTTGCGAGTGGCGCAGATGTGGCCAGATGGCCTGTGGAACACGGCTCTGCAGCGAAGAGACGATGGAGAAGGTGGCAGGCGAAACGGACTGTTGGCTCGTGCTGAGAGTCGACGGGGGCTGAACCCTGGTCGAGACCCTGGGCAAGGGCCTGACAAACAAAATGCACGAAAAAATCCGAAGTGGGCAGACACTGCTTGGCCAGAAGTGTGCCGATAAGTGAAGCCAGGTTGTCCCAAATGTGAGAATTCTCAAGCCACACAGGCATGTCAAGGGTTGTAGCGCCGGAATCAGCGTACGCGCGCGGAGCAACTATGGCGGACAGGGCTTCAAGCCAGGTGGTCTGAAAGTCAATGCATTGTGACATAAGTTCCGCGAATAGGTCAAAAAGGTAGTTAAGATGCTCGTAGGTTCGTGAGTCACTGACGGCAACAAGCGCTTTGTAGACGAAGTTTACTCGAGCCTGAGGGTTTGTCCGAACATCCTCAATACAGGCGCGGAAGGCGGCGCGGCTGTCTCCTGTGTTTGTGAGCAACTCCTCAACATAATTTCGAGACACTGCGAATACACTTTCAAAGTGTTCCGAGGGACGTAAAAAGACGTTGTTGCGTGAGTAAGGATCGGGGTAACGATTATTTTCCCGTGCGACAATGCAGCTCGCCTTTAGGAGATCGTTGAGGTATGCGACAATACAACGCTTGCAATGAGCTTTCTCCTTTCCCTGGCGTACCTGATACATTAAACACGAGAACACACGGAGCTGCAAATCACTCATAGTCATGAGGACTGGCTGGTGAGTCCGCAGAATGCCAATAATCCGAAGACACACGATAGACATGTAGGAGCTCATAAATTGTGATCGTGGACTTGCGGCTTGAAGACGCTCTAGAGTTTCTACAACGGTGTCTAGGAGACAGGTAAGGTTTAAGGAGGCTTCAATCATATCAAAAAATAGGAAAATTGTATGCGGAACAGGCAGGTATACGGGCTCATGTGATGAGGCCGAGGGTAAGGAAAGACTTCCATGGCCAGAATTTTGAGCCATTTGCACTGGAGAGGAGGTCAGAGGCAGCGCAAGACTATGTTGGTCGGGAATGCCACAGACGTCACTTGCATCACCACTGACAGAAGCACTTGATCCACCACTTCCAGAAAGCGTTTTCAAAAAGATGGGTGTAGTCTGTGAGATTACACATTCCATGTCATAATAAGATAAGCATCGGTACCGTTGCAGAAGCTCATCGTGAATTTCTTCCAAGGGCCTTGTATCCTTAGATGTACGCTGACTGGCAGCTCCCTGAAAGTGAGTGGGATTCGTCCCACCAGAGGCCGCTGATTCCTTGTCGCGATCCTTGTTCTTTTTTCTTTTACCCATTTCCCCGTGCACAACATCGAGTCGGTATGTGTTCTTGGTAAACACTTTGGTAAGGTCACGTACAAGTTTGCGGATTCTATCCTTAGCTCTGCATCGTGCACGCATAGTTCCGTAAAGAAGCTGAGCTCGTTGATTGTGTTCATGGGAATATGATGGATCTTGTGGAATGGGAAAGTGAATCAAAAACTGGAAATGGTGGTTAAGATTGGTATGTTCAGTCGACAAGTTTGAAAAGTTATGGCGAGTGATCATAGGGACAGAAGACAGGCCACCAAAGTCAGAGCGGACGGAATCTGGATTTTCAACACTGTTACGGTCATTGTCTTCAGAAACCTCGGACTGTATTGAAAAATTTCCACTTAAGTTCGTCGCAGGGAGGATAGAACAGCCCATGGTGGTGGCCCGGTTTGTAGAATTTCCTGGCAAATTATAACTTCCCATGGAGCCTGCTAGGCCTGAGGCGCTGAGTTGATTGCAGCCAAGGGATTCCTGAGCATATGGATGGACGCTGTTGTCAAAAATCCCTCTGGCAATAAAAGTCCGAACGAAGGCGTCGTGGTCGAAAATGCCTCGGTCGATGAGCTCCCCAAAAAGGCAGACTAAAGAGCGGAAACAGCTAGATTCGTAGGCGGTACTGGTGCTAGCCGCGGGGCTGGGGGCATGCTGGTCCAGAAAATTAATAAGACACTCCTGGAAAAAAAATTGATTTCCACTCTGATAGGTAGATTTGAAGTGTTCCAAAAGGCAGGCGACGACAACAGCTCGATGAAGCCCCGTACGCGTTGGTGAGACAACCCACTGACAGAGGAAGGTCACCAGAGAATAAACGCATCGAAGGTCATCTGGCTTGTAAATTAAAAATAACTCCTTGAAGAGGCTTTCGAGTGGACAGAACTCTTTCGCAATACTGAAGTCCTGACGATCAAGAATGTCAAGCACGCGAACGAGTTCTTCAATCTAAAATTAATGGACAGGTGATTAGGAACGTGGAAACCAAGCGGGAAGGCAAAGTTTATTAACAGAGAGGCGTCCTTCAATCCTGCGCTCGAAGTGTTAAAATCTTGCTTAGGGGAAGACTCGTGAGCCTTCCTTTCCAGTTATCTTCTAATGTCAAATAAATAAAAATGAATCAACAAAATCGATCGCAACTGAAAATCGACCCCAGCAGAGGCAGTCCGACCACTGACGACCAGTGAAAATATCAGACAGGAGCCGGACAGCAAATTACACGACACAACCGGCATCTCTGACTCAGATGTACTACCGGTAACAGCATGGGACAGAGGGGTGGTCATTTCAATCTTAGTTGAGGTCGTTAACCAGTCAAACTCCAGCCCAAGTCAAGAACATCTGAAATCTGGAGCGAAGTCCAAGTACCCATCACTGGAATCATTGGCTGGAGCTCTCAACTGCAGAATAGGGTAAGTGAATCCTGGCTTCCAGCTCCGCGAGCGACTGTATGATGACAATTGAAAACCAACATTACCAAGGACCACTTAGTATAGGGCAGGACAGGAAGTATATTCCATCCAGCAACCACGCAAGTTCAGTGGACTCCATTCCCAGAGAAGAAAGGTGATACAAAGTCATGAGCAGACTAAGACAATGGGAAGTACAGAAAAAAGAACATGCGTGTATTGATTTTGTCAGATGACTTAAGTACACACGCACGTGACAGCGAGCAGGACGTTGGCGAAAGCATGGTCAACAGCTGTTACTGACTGACCAGTCTACATTACTTCGATACCACATGAACCGTAGATCTAAGATTACAGAGATAGGGAGACGAGATTTTCTATTTCTGTTCTTTTACCATTGTTAGTCAACTCTACTATATTCACAGATCAAGGGCAAATCAGTAGCTCGAGGGTAAACTGCTACGGTTAGTCCACAGGATCACTCCTCTAAAGTCTAGCTGCGGGCCTAAACAGGCAAGAAAGTACTCAAAAAAAGATCATAAACAATGGGAGTGACCAGAGTGCACCAGTAATTGAGGTCACATACTACTTACAACATTGTCAGAGACATGAGCACCTCAACATTTCCAGTCGAGCAGACGGTTCTCCAGTGCGCTGCGTAGCGACTGAGTATGGCCCTTCTGATTCCCAACTCATGCTATTGTTGAGCCGATCGGCCTTCGGCTTGGTCAACAGGGCTCGCGGTGGTGAACGGTTATCGAAAGTCGGTAAGTCTACAAAGGTTGGAAGACTAGCCACCTGGTTCGTGGACAACGAACTGGTTCGCTTACGAAATATCGGGGCGTGCCTCTGTACTGGCCAAATGGCCATTTCAGTGTGATGTTGCATGAACGTCTAAACTGGAGCTAATGTTTTCATGACTGTAGTCCTAAGGAGCAAACTTATTGGACTGTAGCAGTGTTTAGTAGGCACATGCATAAAGAATCCATTCTCTACCATATACTCCTAAGCTTCGGCGAAACTGTCGGGCAAGAGCTTAATAGTTCCTCGTCATCTCTGAAAACAGCATGATCGTTGGAAAATCCTGTTTGTCAACCTTCTGACGGGAAAAAATCTACTCTTCCTTAATGACAACCGTAAATCACTCCCAACGTCTGAATCATGACAACAAATACGTGGACAAATTTTGCTGTTGAGCGCCGATAAGGGTACTTGATAGATAAGGCCGTCGCGACAGGCTTTCCCATATGACTGAAAAGTGTCTTTTGGAGTCAGCTTTTTAGGTTTCATCTTTACTCAAAAAACGGAAAATTAAGTAGAATGCAAGCTTAGAGTTCGAAGGGACTACGGCTTTCGATCCTGGTTAAGGATTGTGGTCCTTTTGGATCTGTTTTAAAGCGAGAATAGTCAGAGAATTCCCGACTGAGTCTGCGACAGTTCTCTTGCCGCTAAACGCTTGCTTCCACAACATGTGATAGACTGAAAAGGCTTGCAAATGCGTGATTTCAGCAGGCCATCGAACTTTAAAAAAAAACTGGATGGGGATAGGCGAGCATAACCTTTCGAGTGCTCCGGTTATGACCTGGATTGGACAAATTAGTTCACATGTGAAGATATCCACGTCCCTACAAGTGACATCGGTAGAAATCCTGTAGGTTTTTGGAAATGCCCCCAAATGTGGTGTAACTTAACGCTAAAGATACGACTGGCGCAGAGAGTACGGAGGAAGTCAAGGGAGTTTAGGGCAGTGCTTTGTAAAGAGGACAATTCCACAGAGCACCTTAAATAAAGGCGGTGTGAAAGTGCGAAGGAATTACATGGGTAAAGGTGTAAAGATGTAGGATTGAGGATTCGAATAACAGCGAAGTCCACTAGAAAGCCCACAATAAATCCCATTTGCATGAACTGTCATCAATCTTTTCTGTAATTTGCTAGCTGAGTTGCAGAAAAAGCTTTGGATACAGGCTGAAAAATTGGGAACAAAATTATTTATGATAAGAAGTGAATGTTCGAGTTCCAGGTGTATGTACTATAATTTCGGACGATATTGGATAGAACTTTACTGCTGTCGTTAAAGTTGGAATTAGCCATTCTTCAAAAAAAATTAAGACAGTGGGCTTTGTAGACGGCTGAAATGACAGAAATTTTCAGTGCAGCCCGAAGCAACCAGCCATGTTTGCAGACAAAAAATGGTGTAAACTGGAGACATCAACAGTGACACAGAATTTATGCTAAAAATTTAAAAGATGACTCACATCTGATTCATTGCAGACATCACGGGAACTTGCTGAAGACGGGAAAAGACACCACCCAGTCTCAGCCAGTTTCCCTCGTTCACTCAGGGCCGTCTCGGTCTCCATTAAGCATTGTCTAATTTTAGTGGCCTCTGGTCCAGGTGGTAAAGGGAGAAAGGCGAGAGAGCATGGTAGCAGATCGAGTGGCGATCCATGTAGAAAAGGATAAACCGACTTCGACGATATTCTGTTCCAAACAGCGGCCGATGGGCAATTTAGTGTCAACGAAGCAATCAGGCTGCTGAGTGACATTAGAATCGATCTATGATGTGGACAGGATATTAATTCCAAATATTCTTCTGGTCTACCAAGTGAAGTGGTAGGAGACAAACGCTGTAGACAGTCAAATGAGAATTTGGAAAATGCTGAGCACGACCAATGTAGAAGACGTCGAGTGAGCAGCTCGCTTTCTGTGAAGCGCGAACCAAGTCGCAAAACATAGGGCAAAAGGAACTTGAAAACGGCTAATCTGTCATTTTCTGATGGCCAGACTTTTGTTTCTCTAGGTGAGCAAAAGGGAACCTCATCTTTCGGATCCGTTTGCAAACACACAGAATAAAACTCGTCGACTTTGGCAGCAAACCACTTGAGAACCTCGCAATGCTCCGCAAGATTATTGTCGTACATAGCTATCAGTAAACGGAACAAATAATCCCACTTCTGACAGGCGCTTTCGAACTCGAGCTTCTTCCATAACGCAGCCTCTAAAAGAGGCACATGGTCAAGTATCCTTAACAAAGTAGAAGTCCATTCAGACGTCGGGTCGATAGTGCGCGACTTCTTTTTTACATTTTCAGCAAGAGCGGAACTTTGTATAACGCTCATATTTATGAACCACAGGGCCCGGGAAACGGATACACGATTATTTAAGAGCTCCTGTAGAATTTCTTCCTTTCCCTTGTGGTAGTAAGGCACATGCTTGCTAAGGTTGGCAAGTGACCCAGAACCTGAAAGCTCGATAAACCAGTCGCTGACTTGAGAGCGATTCCTCTCAATGGCTGGCACCACTGTGTCCTTGAAATTGGTGTAATTCCTTCTTTTCGAATCGAATATGTTTGCCGTGTGTGTCTTCCGAACAAGAACACTGTAATAAAGATTCCACACAGAGTCCATTTCAGCAGCCGAGAATAGACTTTTCGCGGACTCGTATTCGAAACTGACAGGCTTGCTGTATTTAAAACCATCCTTGACCAGATCGTCACTAAGTTCATCTTCAGGCTGACTTGTTTGCTGAGTATAGACGTCAGGAAGCCATGATCCTTTCTTTTTAAGTGGCCTGTTTTCCAGCGAAGGAAATTTACTCATTAGAAGACTTCGAATTGAAATCCCGAGGACTCAACTGATGTTCATCTAGCGAACTATTCCTTATCAGGCAATAAAAGCACCAAAACTAGCGCGCTGGTGCATATAATAATAGAAACAAACGCCGTCTAATCAGGCAGTTTCTAGACCCGTGCCCAGTAAAGCTGTTCTAATAAGTCATCTTTCGTGAATGAAACAACAGACTCTTTGTAACTTTTGAGTGAATTTCGGGAAAAGTCCTGAATTTCTTATCTGTACTCCTTGAGTGAGGGGTCGTCGTGGTTGTTGGTGGTAGCAAATCAAACTTGCTGGAAAGCAATGCTCATGCTCTGTTAAAAGGCCAAAAGCCTATTGTCTGTTTTCTACGGCAATCCAGTCAGATTATTTACTTTATATTTTGGCGTACCCCGGTAGTCTTGAGATTCGTTAACCATGCCTGCGGATGCTGTAACACTTTTGCGGGAATGCCGTAACGTTCACGTGATTCCGGATATTCGTTTACCTTGTTTTTTTGAAGTAGCTCCCTTATAGTATTAGAAAGCTGGGTTGGGCGCACTGTGGACTGTATTTATGTCACACAGTTCCATATTTCATCGTCCGGAGCCTACACCGATGTGTCACCTTGCCTTATAAATAATTATAATATCTTTTGCCACTTTGCGGTCATCATTTGGATGCATATTTGGCACGGACTGAGTAAGCGGCAAAAATTTGTTTGAACTAAATTTCCAGGTACAGTATACTTTCAGAAAATAATGGTGCTCTTTGGAACAGGGATTGTTCAACCAGAGGTGTGACCGCTGTCCGGAGCAGCGAACATCAGCGAGTGTCTAAGGAAACATTTCATACTCCGCCACCGCACTTCCTGACTCTAACTCGGAGCAAAAAAGTACTTGCACTTAATTTTACGCTTGATGACAGCTGTCACCATCTAATTTATTTATAGAAAGTCTGTGCTTAAACTGACTCATGTTCTAACCAACGTAACCTGTGGGTTAGTAGGACAACGCCCTTATCACTGAGCCGCGGGCTCGCTGTCCGGCCGGTTGTGATGGGGTATGAGCAATGGCAGAGGGGCATTCATCGATTACGTTACGAAACTCACCGTGCGGCCGCTGGCGGGGCTTCCAGAGAGAGCCTCAAGGCACAACCGGACGAGTGGCTTCCGTCTATCATTGTATATATCCTATAGCAAATGAGAGGGCAAAGAGGCCGTGGCTCAGTGGTTAGGGCTTTGGACTTCTAAACAACGGGTCGTGCGATCCAGATCCAAGTGTTCTGCACCTCATGGTTGGGTATGGCTGCCAGACGACGGCTACTAGGCCAGAAATGGCCATTCCAGCCTCCCCTGTCTTTGTCTTCATGCCATCTCGCCTACATACCTATGTCATGCACCGAATAAATTCTGAAATTATTAGCCTGATTATTCTATGAAGTTCATATACAAGAAACCGCATAGAAAACGCTGGGTGACCTACTAAGGAGCCAAACACCTCGAAGCCGTGTCACACAGCGAGCGAATATCGGCGAAACAAGTGTCTGGACGTTTAGTTAGTACCTACGTCGGAAGTATTGTATAATACCTTTGTCATATATATGCTGATAGAAGCGAAGATACGCGTCCCCGGACATAAATGAGAATAAGAGGCAATCTCGGCAACCATAGTTTATTTCCCTGACGTTTTAAGAGCAAACAAGCTTCCATCGTCGAAGGTGAATGTTGAACCGTGACTCACAGTATTTATAGGTGGCGACTATCCTTTTTCAACGGGTTTGCCTCTCATCGGGGCCGGCGTTCGGACGCAGGCCGTCAATCTTCTTTACGACTCCGCGACCGCCTGTGTTCTTACCTGTCGACCAAGTGGCAGTGATGATAGCGCTTTCGTCGGATCCGTCTGTGCTACTGCAACCGTCTTTTTTCTCACCTTCCGGATAAGTGGATGACGCTGGTTTCTATGGTCACGCGGCAATTTCATCGGCTAAATATTCCAGAGTTTGGGAAGGCGAACGTGTGTCCAGAGTTTTCGCAAAGTTCTGCTACCAAAGACAACGGGTCCATCCTCCTTTTTGCTCTCGCGAGTTCTCCAACACGCCTCCGTAGTCATTTGCCGGTCTCTCCATTCCGCCAACATGCAGTTAAATGTGGATTTAAGGAACGGCCGTTGCTGGCAAACTGTGCTGTTAATCCAGCAGACCACGCTCATGACCTAAACGAACATAGCTATCCCTATTCAACGACTTGCTAATGCAGGTTGGAGGCGTTTGCAAAAGTGTGTTCGGGCTTTTGGGTACCTCTGGGTGGTTGGGCCGCTTTGTCACGAGCGTCCAAATTATAGTGATACTGCAGTAATTCCGTACGGTAGAGCAGCAGATAAGTGACGTCCTCATCTGTTTGTTCAGGTACTTTGTCTCCCTCATAAGAAATGAGGCCTCAGGGCAATTTCTAAGTGAATTAACGTATAGTTAGGTAAATTCGGAACACGTAACCTCAAAAGATTTCGTTTAATTGGCTAAAATGCCCCTTGAAAGTTCTCGAAATATGGCGTGGTCATGGCCACGTCCGCCCACGATTGGCCACACCCACAAGGCGAGACCGTTTGTAGGCAGTGACGAAAACTGACACGACTAAACTTTTAGTTCCCTCATCTTTCCCGCACAACTTTCTCTATGCTATTGAGAATGGGCCATCCGGAATTTAGGACGCCAATACCAAAGTTCATTATCCGCTCACATTTCCTTCTCTGTGTGCGGTTTCGCTTTCGGGGATCTCTCATCAAAAACATCGATTTTTTGGTTTTCTAGTCCACGCATCTTGTTTTTTCACAGAACGGGATATCGTTTTTTGTCAAATCCCCTCACAGAAGTAGCGGACCTAGGTTGAGGTGCACGTTCTAAGCCGCCTCCGTTCCGTTAACCCCCAACCCTCGTCAAGAATCCACTCTGGTCCCTGCGATTTTGAACCCTCACCCTATGTCGATAATTTTCACGGCTCTCGATTTCAGTTCCTCGTTTCGACCCTAAGTGGTATATTGGCGTTCACGGCGGAATCCTCTACTTTTTTCATTTGTTAATAGTTTGGTCGGTTGGCGAAGAGGCCTCAGGGTCGCATTTCCCCTCTACGCATTAATAACCGTCTTAGCCTTTAATGTCCCCTCCTCAGCTGGACTTTAAGTGGACTGTGACCGATTACGTCTAGGTTCGTCTTGTCTCGCCACTTCAAAGTGGATAGCCTCATCCGGTTTAGGAATTCTGCCTTCACGACTTCCCTTTCGAATCCCTTATACAATACCATATGCAGGCCAGTCCTGTTCGACTCGCATATTTACGCATTCATGAGCGGCAGTTTTTTCTCCTTAAAAGCTAACCAAGTCATGCTCATTTTTCTTTTATATAAGAAGTTTTTCCGCTGCTCGTTGACCGTTTTTAATATCTGACGGCTTATTCTGGAACTGTGAACTAAATACTGTACGGAATCCGTCTACTTGTTCTAAAGTGCACTTGAAAATTTACTTCTAATATCTATAAAACTACCCTCAAGGGTACTCAATAAACAAATTTATTTATTTCTTGGGTTTAACTGCGATTCTGAACAAATCAGACTGCAATAAGTAGATGTTGTTGCTTCTAGAAGATGGCCCAACTTATAAGCCTCTTTCCACATACCCAACGAAGGGACAAAATTCGTATATTGATAAAGCGTTAAAACACCCCCACATTAACGAAGACAACCGTCAGGAGATATTGCGAAATCCCGGACACAACCA